TGCATTTATGGGGTTGAACTGCTCCTGCCTTTCCTAAAAAGACAGAGCTGCAGTTAACCAAATATTGTTTAATGCCTTTGTAATGTTATTTGCGTTATGAGGTCATTGCTTTTATTTATAAAAGGATGCTATGGCAAACAAATCACAACACTAAAGCAGCGGAGTTGCTTTTTTGTTCTTAATTTGTTTAAGGCATAGGTAGTTAAAATGGAGTAGTGTGGCGTAATGGTTAAAGATCTGAGGTGATAACCTGTTACTACGAACTGAGGTCGAGTTAGACAAGTTATTACTATCTATTCAAATGAAAAACCAGGCTTTCTTTAAGGTCATTGGTCATTTCTGGAAATGCGTTTTCAGCATTTTGTTGATTAAGTAATCAATACCGAGGGCAATATTTGTCCCTGGAATTGATTTTTACGGACAATTAATAAATAAAAATAAATAACCTACTGATAAATATAAAATGAAATCCATATCAAGAAGCTATGAACAGTGCACAAGATACACTACCTTTCAAAAGTTTGGGTTCTTTTAGATTGTTCAGTCTTTTTGAAAACAACCCATGTTTTTTAAATTACTAAAATACCCTAAATAGACTATAATAAGCCATAATAATTCACCACACTGCATGCATGCACTAGGATGTATGATACAACGACAAATTCAATCGCACGTTTATTATTTTGCATATATATATGTGGCATTATTTTGACTCCATACATTTTCCCTGATCCATGGTTCATTTCTGACCCTGTCATTCGCTTCAAATTAAACATGGCATTTCCTGACTAAGGTCAGCTGTGCGCTTGAGCAAGACCCTTAAACCTAAGTTGCTTTATGGAAGCTGTCCATGTAATGAGGTGTACTATAAATCGATCTGGATTAAAAACATCAGCCAAATGGTAAAGAACTCATTTCTCAATGTTGGCTTGCCTGTTCAGGATTCTGTGAGAGGATTGACATCTGTTGTGGGCAGAAAGAGTGGCCAACATCTTGACTTGGCATCTTAACAAAGCCTTGAGTAGCAGCAGACCCCATATGCGCTCTGTATTAAGAGTGAAACATCATGAAACGCTACTCGGAGCTTGAAATAACAACTGAAGTTATTTGCTTATTTTTGTCTCTTTTGTTGTGCGGTTTTTGCTGATTCATGTTGATTGATATCACTGTGTGGTTTGTAGCTTCTTGAAACCTTTTTTTCCATCCTGAAGATGCACAATCACAGGTGACGTCAATTAATATTTGATGCCTACAAATAAATTCAAGCCATTTTTATCTTTAGTAAGCACTATGCTTATGGTACGAATATACTTGTCAAGACAAAATACCTTTCTGAACTGTTCATTGGTATTTTGGCACAGTTTTCCTGCTGCATACCACTTTTATGGACCTGCCTATGCTAGACCCGTCTTATCTCATATTACTTCCTCTTGGAATAGTGGAAAAGTACCATACGCGTGTTTCCATCTTGTTGTAATGCTTTGTGAATCAATCAATAGATTCTTGTCAAGAACGTTGAGATGGATTTAGCTTTACTTATCAGAAATGATAATGTTGAGGTCCACTAATGCTATAAATGTCTCCGCAGATTCGTTACATCTCTCAAACTCAAGGGTTTCCCGGAGAGCAGCTTCTGAACGTGGGGACGAAGACGGCACGATTCTTCTGCAAGGAGTCCGATTCACCGTATGCCACATGGAGACTGAAGGCAAGGGTCCATTTATCGTCCACTTTACCAGACATTGCTGTCATAAATTTACAGCATAGCTCTCTGGATCGAGTTACTGTCTGCTCTGCATAAAGTTTTGATGTAAAGTTCTTATGTAATGACTTCAAACGCGCTTCCTGTTTCTGCAGACGACTGAAGAACATGAGAAAGAAACAGGACTGAAGTCCAAGGAGGCGAGGAAGTACATTTTCAGCTGTCTAGATGACATTGGACATGTATGTTTTTGCTTGCAAATGCTTGTTATACTTCAGGGCTGCACAAATTCGGTCCTGGAGGGCCGATGTCCTGCAGAGTTTAGCTCCAACTTGCCTCAACACACCTGCCAGGAAGTTTCTAGTATGCCTAGAAAGAGCTTGATTAGCTGGTTCAGGTGTGTCTAATTGGGGTTGGAGCTAAACTGCATGACACCGGCCCTCCAGGACCGAGTTATTATATATGTTATACATCATCATGAGGAAATTTTTTTTTGAGGAGTTACTATTATTTTTATTATTATTATTATTATTAATACTATATGTTATGGTTAATAATAATAATAATAATATACACTTTTACAGCATTATTATATAGAATAATAACGATTTTAATTATAAATAATATATGATTAAGTTATTATATTTTAGTTAATATTAATGGTGTTTTTTTATAAGTATTCATTTTATTATTAATAACAATAATGATCATTTATGTACAATACTGTAATTATATTGGAATTACAATATTTGTTGTAGGGCTGCACAATTTGGCCTAAAAAGGTTGGGATTATATAAATCAATATGATTATAAAATAATCATGATTATGATCAAAAAAAAAAATTTCCTGTAAAAATAATAATTGTTGTTGTTGTTGTTGTTATTATTATAATTACTACTACTGTTACTACTAAATTAAAATATTAAACAATATTAAATGCTTATATGATTATAGAAGAATCGATATGATTATAAAATAATAATGATTGATCATATTAATTGTACTGTAAAATAAAATAACAATTATTGTTAATTTACTGTTATTATTATGATAGCTAAAAAAAAAAAGACTTTTTAGTCATTTTTAGTAATGAGAAGTATTGCTAATATTTCACTGTAAAATTAAAAAAATTATAATACAGTATTTAAGAAAAAATATTAATATAATAGTTTCATTTTACAGTACAACCATCAAGCTTTTATAATAGTGGAAACCGTAGGGAGTAGGGATGGGTATCGATTGTTGTTGTTATTATTATAATTACTACTACTGTTACTACTAAATTAAAATATTAAACAATATTAAATGCTTATATGATTATAGAAGAATCGATATGATTATAAAATAATAATGATTATGATCATATTAATTGTACTGTAAAATAAAATAACAGTTATTGTTAATTTACTGTTATTATTATGATAGCTAAAAAAAAAACTTTTTAGTCATTTTTAGTAATGAATACTCCGGTCTTTCATAATTTAGCCCCGGGACCGATTAAATACCGGGTTTCGGTACCCATCCCTAGTAGGGAGATCTTAAAACTTCTCTTTTGTGGATATGTTATAAGTGACATCCATATTGCAAATTTAGAATTTATTTAAATTAATGTTGCAGCCCTAATTTAAATTGAGCATTACTATTGATTTTCAATGTAATAAATATTGTGTGGAGCTGATTTTATTGTTTGACTCTACAGGAATCCCTTCAAACCCAAATCAGCCAGGAGGATATTCGGTTAGAATGGAGAACACTCTTTCTCTGGTGACCCAAGCCCCAGCTATCCAGCCTTTACCCTTGAGACCAGGAGTTATAGCACAAGTAAGTCCTCATTTCACAAGATAATGTGGAAAAATAATGGAAAACAGCCGAGGGTTGTTATCCACGTTGACATACCAGTTTCGATATTAAACTCGAAGCCAGATACATTACAAGGGTTCAGTATTGTCCTTTTTTGACCTTTCAGCAGCCTTGGTCCAACAGAACTCCACAGATCCTGGTGCCAGCTTGGCAGCAGGTCCCGCCACCTGCTAAGAGCTTGGCATCTGATACAGTTGTTGGACCGCAGAGGCGAGGAGATTGGGGGTAAGAAGATCAAGAAGGAGCCGCACCTCAAATATCATGTGCTGACACCACCGCATTTCGGTGACGTAAAATGTGTTGTTTTTTTATCTGTTAAAGGAAAGTGCGGCCACACAGCAGCCATTACGGTTCGGTGATGCCCCAGCTTATTGTTCCCAACCAAATGGCTGTGTCAGCCCATCAGCCTATAAACATTGGCATTGCTCATGTGGTCTGGCCTCAGCCTGCATCCAACAAGAGGAACAAACCCAGTCAGAACAGGTGAGCAACAGCCTACAGTCATTGGCAGGGCCTCAAAACCCCTCCATTCGAACCTTATGATATTCTTGTTAGGCTGCTCATTTGGGTTTTTACTCTGTTTCACCGAAAGGCAAAGTTGAGCTGATTATTATCATTTGTGCTGCTTTTTAGGAGTATGAATGTCTCGCACAACACGGACACACAGCCCTCAGTGTGTCCGTCACCAAAGATGGCGGACAGGATGGCGAGTGCGGAGCCACAGTCGAGCTCTCCTGACAGAGAGGTGCAGGCCCAGGTGAAACCGGAAACGGAGCAGGTGGATGAGGAGAGTTCCTGTAAGGCGGCGGTGGCCAATCAGCAGCGAGAGTCTGTTATTATCAGAGAGTCGCCCAGCCCGGTAGTAAGCGTCATTAGCATAAGCAGCGGCACAGATGAAGAGGAACAAGCACAGAGGTGCTCCCTTAACAAGTGAGTTGAACATTCATTATGCACAAGTTTTACTGTTTTTTGTTTTTATACAGTAAAAAATACAGTAATATTGTGAAATGTTATTACTATTCAAAATTACTATTTTCTATTATAATATTTTATAAAGTGTAATCTATTACTGTGATGGCAAAGCTGAATTTTCAGCATCGTTACTCCAGTCTTCAGTGTCACATTCTGATATGCTGATTTGCTGATCAAGAAACATTTCTTATGATTATCAATGTTGAAAACAGTTGTGCTGCTTAATATTTTTGTGGAAATCGAGATACACGGTGATAAATTTTTTTACACAAATAGAAAGTTCAGATTAAGGCCGTATGAAATCCATTTAAATTTTTTCCAAATTACGTTTGTTCCATTTGATTTTTTCTGAGTTCCGTTTTTTTTTTCTTTTCCATTTTTATTTCTCTAGACTCTGTTTTAATGGTTAAATTGCATTTTATTTAGGGATGCACGATATTATCGGACTGATATCGGAATCTGCCGATAATGGCTTTGAATGTACATATCGGCATCGGCCCGATATGAAAAATTATGCCGATATGTTTTGCCGATAAGAGGAATAGGTTAACTCACATATGCTCAGGGTGTGCTAGCGATTAGATCACGTCAGCAGTGTGACTCATTTTTGAAGCAAAGTTTTGCCTGAATAGTGATTCGATTCACTGTTTTGGATCGCTGCATTTAAACTGAGAATGCATGTACAGGCAGGTGGATGAGGAGAGTTCCTGTAAGGCGGCGGTGGCCAATCAGCAGCGAGAGTCTGTTATTATCAGAGAGTCGCCCAGCCCGGTAGTAAGCGTCATTAGCATAAGCAGCGGCACAGATGAAGAGGAACAAGCACAGAGGTGCTCCCTTAACAAGTGAGTTGAACATTCATTATGCACAAGTTTTACTGTTTTTTGTTTTTATACAGTAAAAAATACAGTAATATTGTGAAATGTTATTACTATTCAAAATTACTATTTTCTATTATAATATTTTATAAAGTGTAATCTATTCCTGTGATGGCAAAGCTGAATTTTCAGCATCGTTACTCCAGTCTTCAGTGTCACATTCTGATATGCTGATTTGCTGATCAAGAAACATTTCTTATGATTATCAATGTTGAAAACAGTTGTGCTGCTTAATATTTTTGTGGAAATCGAGATACACGGTGATAAAATTTTTTACACAAATAGAAAGTTCAGATTAAGGCCGTATGAAATCCATTTAAATTTTTTCCAAATTACGTTTGTTCCATTTGATTTTTTCTGAGTTCCGTTTTTTTTTTCTTTTCCATTTTTATTTCTCTAGACTCTGTTTTAATGGTTAAATTGCATTTTATTTAGGGATGCACGATATTATCGGACTGATATCGGAATCTGCCGATAATGGCTTTGAATGTACATATCGGCATCGGCCCGATATGAAAAATTATGCCGATATGTTTTGCCGATAAGAGGAATAGGTTAACTCACATATGCTCAGGGTGTGCTAGCGATTAGATCACGTCAGCAGTGTGACTCATTTTTGAAGCAAAGTTTTGCCTGAATAGTGATTCGATTCACTGTTTTGGATCGCTGCATTTAAACTGAGAATGCATGTACAGAATGATGCGTGCGATGTATGATAGAGTAAACAGTAATAGCACGTGCAGCGACAGCCTCCCCCCGGGTTTATTTATAGTTATTTTCAAAGCTTCAATGTACTGTCATAAAAGAACTTCATTATTGTTTATTTAATTCTAACAAATAAGTTCTTGTTAAAAACTAACCAAAATTAAAAATAATGTGCTTATAATTTTCTTCACAGGAGAGACTTGGTGTTGTTTCCAAACAAAAGAAAATATTTCGGCATCGGCTATCGGCCAAAAAGAGTTGAAAAATATCGGCAAAAATCTAATATCGTGCATCCCTAATTTTATTAATCCAAAAGCATGTTTAATTAACGGAGATAATGAAACTTTCACCATTTAAGAGCAATTTATTAAAAGTTTAACAAAAAATACATTTTTAGGGCCCTATGAAATTCTGAATTCCAAATTCTGTTTTCCATTTTATTTTTCTGGATTCCATTTTAATGGTTTAACTATTTTAATAATCAAAAGCATCTTTAATTAATTGACTAAAATCATAGAGCCATATCAAAAGAACAGCATTTATTTGAAATGAGAATCTTTTGTAACATTTATCAATTTCTTTACAATTTTCTATATTTTAGATCAATTTAATGCATCATTGCTGGATAAAAGTATTATTTGCCTTCCCTAAAAAACAAACAAAAATGCTACTGTAAATATTCAGCAACCTGGCAGAAGTGGTGTGACTTATTTCACTCACAAACTGATTATCACTGATATTAATCATAACTGAGGTCATTTGCATATAGAACTCTTAAAGGTGCAGTAGCACCCTCTTTAATTCTGAGGGTCAGTGAGAGAGGGTACATTTATGACTTTCTGACCAAGTAGATTTCAGGGAAATAAACAATATGCTACAAAAAAATGCTGTCAGTTGTTGACAAAAATGTCAGATTCTGTTTAGCTTGCATACAAATGGCTCTCGTAGCTAAATTGAGTTGCGTGTGTTCTTTGACAGGTGTAAGGGCAGTCCGGAGTGTGAGGCATGCACAGGCTCTCTGAACATGGAGCGAGTGTGTTCCCTCAGCAGTCCTGATAGCAGTCTGAGCACCAGCTCCTCAGCCTCGGCACAATCCAGCCCCTCGCCATGCAAAAGACCCAGCAGGTGCTGTATTTTATTTTTAAAACATGTAGAACTGTGAGGTGAGGTTGAGTCTATATGTATTTTGATGCGGGTTGTTTTCTTCTGTGACTTACTGTAGTATATCAGAAGATGACGGCCATGAAAGTGGGTGTGAAACAGTAGACGGCTCACCCCCTTCAGACTCCTCCCTAGGGCCCCACGACAGCCCCTTCCCTGAAAGACGCTTCCTGACCAATCAAAACCAGAACCAGAAACCCCAGGCCAGGCGTGGACACCCCAACACAGTGCTGAATAAACCTGCGGTGAGGACCGTGGTGGTGCCGCCCATGAGAGTGCTGAACAATAACCATCACCCCAACAATGAGCAGCTCACAATCGGCACAGGTATGGAAGAATAAGTCTAGTTGTAGGTTATCGGAAACATGTGAAAGATTCTAATGGAAGTTGAGCAGTTGTTGGTGCTTCGATGTTTTCTTAAAATAACGTTCTGGGTTTGATACAGGCTGTTTTGTACTAAGAAAAATCATTTTAATTTGTTTTTCATAAATAATTCTAACATGCTGATTTGGTGTTCAAGAAACATTTATCATCATCAATGTTGAAAACAGTTGTACTGCTTAATATTTATGTGGATAATATTTCTGATCATTTATTTTTTTTTTTTCAAGATTTTGATGAATAGAAAGTTAAAATCCTAAAATCAAAATCGATTAATTGAACACTTTACCTCAATTACATTTAATAAACAATTATTTTATTTTTTTATTTTATTTTTTTATATTTTTGCCCTCATAGTTCATTAAAGGTTTGTACTGTAAATATACTCCGCTATTAAAGGTGGGATATTTTTTTCTAATGAAAGAGTGCATTTCTTATCTTTTGTGTTTTTAAAATAATTGAAGGAAACAAACTATTTATGGTTATTTGTTGAATATTTCAAACAATTGAAATCAAAGCACACACTGCTTGAAAAAGTCACATTTCAGTTTTATTGTAAAAGAAAAGTTTCCTAAAATAAAAAACAAACAAAAAACAAACAAAATTTTGTTTTGCAAACAAAATAAATGTTGCCATGTCAAAAGTAGAAAATAACCAGCGTCTCTTGCAAACAAAATACATTTTAAATACTGTCATGCAAAAAGTAGAAAATAACTTGTACCTCTTGTAAATTAATATTATTTATTTAAATAATGCAATGTGAAAAGTAGAAAATAATAACGTGCATCTCCTGAAAACAAATGTTTTAAATAATGAATGTAAATAGAACACTGCTGATTAAGAGAAAGAACAGGGCCCCATCTCATTGATCTTATCCTGTCACTCTATAAGTATTTACTCTTATGTTCTTATTGGCCATTCACACAGAACACGTCTTTGCATCTAAAACTGCGAAACGCAGCACTCAAGAATGGTTCAAAAATAAGCGCAGCGCAGAATGCCTACTACGCCGTGTTGCTGTCAAATACAAAATTTGCCATGCCAACCTACTACTGTAAACATGTTCGCAATGCTTGCCCCGCCTCTGCGGTCTTCTGATTGGTCCACTGTGTTGGAACTGACATTGATGAGTGGTGTTGCGTGTAAAAGTTAAATTTCATTTAACATGCCACTCACGTGCGAGATGCTGCAAAAGATGTGAGCGCAACGGTCATACATGTATAGCATCCGTATAGCGCCGACTATACACACGGTAGTATGTTTTTAAGAGGAAAGTATTAAAATGATTAAAAAAAAACGAAATAACCGACATGGGAAAATTACATCGGTTAGAGGTTCTGAATTTCGGTTTTGATTACTTTCCCATTAATCGTCCAGCCCTAATATAAATCATTTGTAACATTTGTACCTTAACATTTGTAACATCAGTTTAATGTAGAGATGCGCGATAAATTGCATGTGCTTGTCATGCGCATCTCGTCAGTAAAGCCGGTTCTGTGATTAGTAGTAAATCTCCATTTACTAATCTGTGTATTAAATTCCGCTCCATCTAAAAGCATGTGATGGAGATTTACTACTAATCACAGAACCGGCTTTACTGACGAGATGCGCATGACAATCACATCTGATTTATTGTGCAGCCCTAATTTAATGGATCCTTGCTGAATAATAGTTTTAATTTCCTTTTATAATAGTATTGATTTCTTATTCTTCTTGTATATTTTAATGGCTTTACATGACATGAGTTTGGAGTATAAATTTGCAAAAACTAGTGCTTTCTTCCCCTTTTTTGTGATAGAACATATTTAAGTGTCACAGCTATATTTTCAAAAACGTGTTTTAACGTGTATGCTAGTGTGATGCTGTGCTAAATAGATAAAATGACAAAAAACAGTTTGAAGAGCTAAACTACTTTTGTCAAACCCAGAATGTTCCTTTAATGTCTTGTGTAGGTTAATGTACAACTGTTTCATGAAACACTATTTGCATTTCATTTACATCCACAGCTCAGATTTTACATAGCTACATAGTGAAAACATAAACTTGACTTGCTTCGTCCTGTACCTTTTGACAGTTGCTGCTCGTTCAGATCTAGTTTTGTGAAACTGCTGTTTGTGTTCTATACAGACTGGTTTCTCTAAATGGATTTTTTCCCCCCAGTCTCAAATTGGGCCATCAATACACAGTTCCTTCTGCACAGCCAATTTTTTTTAGTGTGGTCACAGCCAATGTCTACTTTACAGGTCATAGGAGAGAAACAGGAAGTTGTCACAGAGGCTATCACAGGTGATTATGGGTATAGCGTGCACTGCGACCCAGTGTCTTGTGCGCGACATCCCAGTGTTGAGTGAGACCCTTTCAGTTTGAGCTTCCTCTCCCATACCTGATCTCTTCATTCCCGTCTTCGTTTTTACTCTGCGTGTTGACTGCCCTAAATTTATTTACTTTTTTTTGGGGAAAATATTTCCCCGGCCTCCCCCTTTCGTACCAAAGCATATCTGTCCTGTTTCCTACGTGGAGCCAATGCTTTGTTTTCGACGCATGCTATGAAAGAAATATTGCTGGAGCGGTAAACTCTTTAAGATGCTTCTCATGGCACTTTACCCAGGCAACCTGTTTGTTTTGGGGTGTCCATGGAAAGTTTGAGGAGAGTTTATGTTTTAGATACATTGCTATCTAAGTTTGTTTTATACGTTTTTCAACCTCGCAGTTCAAACTTTTTGGTTTTGATGTTTACTTCATTTTCTTTTGAACAGAACGTCAGTGAATACTGGCAGCCGATTCAGTTCGTACAAGCTGCAGTTCTTGTGCCAAACTGCAAATGTTAATTTATATAAGCTGAAGTTTTGCATTTAAGTTTAATCATCTTTTTTAGGCATTTTATTTAATGATCACTCACTTTTTGGTCTTTTCTACTTTCTTCAGTCTTAGAATCCTCCTGCCAGCCCAGAGGTCGCTACGGCCCAGGACGACTGAGCCACCTTTCCACACCCACGCTGCCCCGCCAGCAGAAACTGAGCTCTTCATTCCAGCCACAGCCGCCAGGCTTTGGCCAGGTATGTCATTTTGCCTTTTCTCTGTAATACTGTCCAAATTGTATATGTAGAGAAATGCTACCAACTAGCAGGTAGCAATTCATAGATTATGGTGTTAACTAAAGGCTATTGGTCTATTAAAAAAAGAAAGAAAGAAAGAAAAAAAGGAAATGTCACCCTATAATTTTTGTAAATGCATGTTTTACATTTAGTTGGTTTTTTTTTTTTTGATTGTTTTAGTCCCCTTCTGTTTACACTTGGATATCCATCAAAAGAAAAAGAAAAAATTTGTCACTACTTCCAAATTATTGTGATTTTAAATAGGAAATACGTTGAGACTGGGCAGTTCATAAGGTCTTTCAGTTGCTATTTAAAGGATTAGTTCAGAATAAACATTTCAATGATGTACTCACCCCCATGTCATCCGAGATGTTCATATCTTTCTTTCTTCAGTCGAAAAGAAATGAAGGTTTTTGAGGAAAACATTCCAGGATTTTTCTCCATATAGTGGACTTCAGTGGGAGCCAATGGGTTGAAGGTCCAAATTGCAGTTTCAATGCAGCTTCAAAGGGCTCTACATGATCCCAGCTGAGGAATAAGGGTCCTATGTAGCGAAAAGACCGGTCATTTTCTAAAAAAAAGATAAATTTATATACCTTTCAACCACAAATGCTCGTCTTGCACTAGCTCGACCTCACGCATTATGTAGTCACGTTGGAAAGGCCATGCGTGATGTAGGCAGAAATATGTACAAAGGAATGTATAAAGAAAGTCAAATGCCCTTTACGAAAAAAGGTAAAACAACGATCTCGAGCACTCCTATGTGGCGTCACCCGTCTACGCAGGCTTCCCCCTCAGCCCCAGCAAACTCAGTCAGTACCCATACATCTGAGCTGGAGCCCGCGGCAGCCGCGCGCACGCAGCCGGTACTGAGCCGCCACATGTTTCTTTTCTTATGAAGTTTGACAACAGTGATGATGATGATGCAAATCGAACTTTATAGATATCATGGAGAATAAAACAAACGAATGCGTGAGTGAGCGAGTGGACACAAAACACAAAAACTCACTTTTAATGTGTTTTTGCACATTTGATACAACAAAATCCCTAGTCGCGAGACCCTCGGCGGAGGGATCCCCTATGCTATTTTTTCGATATTGCCTTCTGACGTGCGTATTAGACTCTCGTTCAAGCCATCGCTGTCTCCAGTGTGCGTGCGAGTCCCCCTTGTGGAGACCTGGTGTTACCTGTCCGTATTTTCCCGTAGCTCCTCAGTGTTAAGTCTCCTTTAGACCGGTGTTGA